TATATATAATACGAGAATAAAAAAGAATAATCTATAAAATTAAAATAAGTAAAACAGATGACACATAAATCCATGAAGTGTGTATCACTGAGACGTAGCACTTCCGTTTTGCGTTATATTACATAAAATATCTCATTATTTATCACTATTTACGAATATTTACCCGAAATAAGTACGAATAAAACATGATGATTTAATTTATCAATTATTACGCTCGTAATAATTGGCGATCCACAGACGAATTCTTGTTTCAGTTAATGGCCGGAAACTTGGTGACACTATCTATACATGCAACATTTATCCGTCTGTTTGATCAATATCTTATGTAACTACATCAAGTCTTCTTGAATTTCTCCAAGTCCTCGACACTTTAACTTAAGGTGCACTCTAATTACGGGTATCGAATTTAAATGATTTGCCGTAACAGCCGTAAGTAACAGTGTATAATTAGAAGCGAAACTTAAATTAAATTTGCGTAACACAGCTAATTAGATATCCGTTAGATAAAGATATGTACATATTAAAATATAAAGTTTGTTCTGTGTTAGTGGAAAAGAGAAATTGTATTAAATATTGAATTATATCTAGTAACCGTCACCGACACAGATATAAATGCAAGTATATAAATGCGCTACTATTTTCCAGAGAGTGTTTAGTATTGCACCATGCGTACAAGGAGCATGGTATTAATAAATGCTCAAGTGGATTTGCACATCTGTCATCTTAATGCAAGGTTTCGTTTTCCTCTATTATATATTGTAAAAAAAAAGCGTCAAGAAGCAAAATAATATGGTCCGTTATCAAAAGTAATTTCTACTAAAGGGGTGGATATACAAAGCGGCTGTACATTTCGTAGCATCGTCACGACTGTAAAGTTTCGTAATGGCTAAACATTGAGAGGGAAGATAATCATTTTTCTTACTCCTTTCACTACAGCAGGGACGAAAGAAAAAGAACGTAATAATCGATGTTCGAAGCCATTCACATAAGCGCGTAATATATAAATAATCTTCTAGAAAATAATAAACGATAAATTATCACGGAGTTTCCTACACTGAAACACTTGCTGGTGATATCGTACCTTGAGCGAGAAGGGTCTCTGTGGTTTTTCTTGAAGGGGTTGTTGGGGTACAGAGGACGCCTCGGAAACACTCGTCGGGGTCGCCCCGGAAGATCCGGAGGTTACAGGAGTGGGGGGACCGACTGTCTCGGCCGGACTGTCCCCCCCGGACGTTGACGAAGAGGGAGATTTAACCTTACCCTGCAACCAGCCCAACCAGCGTGCCTTGTTAAGTACTCAGAGTCCGCCACCAAATCACCACGAAATCACCAAGGTGCCGAGTGTCTTCCCGCGGCCAAAGGTCACGTTACACTCAAGCGCATTAAGTGCCAAAGCCCATCCAGAGTGGCTCGCAAATCATACTTAATTAAACAACAATTGACTTAAACTAAGAGCGCGCTATCTCGTTTGCAATTGTAAATGTAAAAAAAAAATTAATCTTGTGTGCACATGTGGATATATATAATTAAAATTAAATACATATATATATATATATAATTTCACACATGTGGTATGTGTAGTATCGATACCACAAAGAGATTATAATACGATAGTACACTCGATTAGTACTTTGACTAATATATTACCAAAAGTAATTTAACTTAAAACTTTCTTCTATATGACATACTTATAAACTCGCTACTCTCTTTCGATGGAAATATGTTCATAAAACAACATGCAGTGCTTTAAACAAACCGAACCTACAAATTTTTCTCAAACACTGTTTAAGAATCAATACACATTCACAACTTTATCAATATTTTGGAAAACGAACATTAAGGAAAAATTAAAAGATAAACTCGCATTAAAAACACCTTAGTTTAATTATTACAATATTAAAGAAAAAATAAGTTACCCATACTCAACTGAAATAACTGAATGGTATTAATTGCTCGAGTTCCAAGATATCGATGTCGTTTTGAACAAAAAAAATAAGTGCTAAAAAAGATAATACTTGGCAAACTGATAAAATTTTTGTTTAAAAAAAAAGTGGTTTTTAAATAGAGATGTTCAATCCTGTTATAATGCAAAAATTTAGCGTCAGAGCATGCGCTTACCATCAAGTATAGCTGAAATATCAGAAAGAAAATTGTGTTAAGACAACATGGCAATCGAGATTATTTAAGACGCAAACAAAGAGGAGAGATAAGATCCTACTATGTACAACCAAAGCGATCAAAATGATGATATCTACACGAACATATCTAGATAAAAAATAAACAGATGAGTTACAAACAAAATTCGATTGTTACCTAAAACTGAGCAATCATATATTGTACATTCATGTACTTTGCCAATAATACTACAAATTCAACTGATGTAGATTAATTTATATGTACAAGCAATATTAAACAATCAGGATATAATTACAATCAAAAATATATGATATGAAAAACGTAAATAGAAGGCGGAAGAAAAAGAAACTCTGTACTTTCTGAGATATAGTAATCTTCATACTATCTGCTCTATACTAAACACCCGTGCCTAGATTCGAAAAGTAGCTGTCACACAGCATGGCAGACCTCTTAATGTTGTGTTGATAAAATTTATAACATTCCCCGTAATTCGCATCGAATTATATATTCCCGTATTACTCTATACTTTTTATAAAAAAAACAAATTATTGAAAATTTTGACTATATGATGTGTATGTAGAACTGATATGCAGAACTGATGATAATGATGTTCAGGTAGGTCAATGTGTATTATGCAGTCTTCCTAAATTATTTGGAATATATTTGAGATAATCCCATATGTTTTTACCTTCGTGACCGCTTGCAAGAAAGCAGCCTTTCCTACTTTTTGCCGTTGTTTCGACATGACAACTTCCATCCTTCGCTTTTCATTCTCTATGTGTCGTCGCTTCTCTTCAAGCTTTAGTCGTATATTATTCAGTTGCGAGGCCATTATGGTATTACCGCCGTTCTCATCTAATACCACAGAGTATTCTCAGTTAGTATTCCAAAATTAGATATAAATAAAATTAAGTAATAGGTATATTCTTAAATGCCACACTCTCTCTTGTCTTGTTAATAATATACAGAATATATACATTCCATAAATGTTATATTTTATAAATGTTTCTCTAATTCAATTTCTAAATAAGTTTTTTTCTTACTTTAATAGCTTACCAATTGAATGTTGCTCTAACTGCTGCGACTGCTGATTGCTCTGCTGTTGCCACGTGGTTGTGTTTGGTAGAGTGGCAAACGTTGTTTTCTTCTCACTGTTCCCATTACTTTGGCCATGTTTCCTATTCGATTTAGCATCATCTTGTTGTTCCGTATACGTGAAATTTATTCCTTTTTCTGAGCTCTGTCTACTCAAATTCGCAAAACTAGCGAACTTCGTGGGGACATCGCCGCCGCCGCCGCCGCCGCCGCCGCCGCCGCCGCCACCACCACCACCGCCGCCATCCATACTGCTGTCGTTCTCTACGTTGGAATGTAAGATTTGCCGGAGAGCGACGTTATCTAGACTGCTGTTGGACGCCTGTCGTCGCAGCCTCATCGGCTCCTCGCTGCCGCTGTAACCGTTGTCCGCGATTATGTGCTGCACGCCGCTACCGTACACATCTTGGACGCTGGATCGCGCAGGCAACGTTGGTTCGGTAGCGTTGCGCTTGGTGATGTGCGTGCCTAACTCTTTATCCGGATTTCTACCAAAATTGTGTAAATTATCCTGGATAAAAGAAATCACTCGATCATACTGCTTGTCCACTCGAGATAATCCTTCCGCGTCAAAGTTTTCTTCGTGCGACGACGAATGAAATGACGCCACTCTGTGCAGCTACATACCTGAGACCCGCCGAAGTTCTCAATAGTCAATTGAGAATCATCCGTGATGCTGTTACGTCTTGACCGACGTCCGGCATAAGAGCTCCGTCGTTGTTCCTCCCAATTGCTCGGCCGACCAGCGGCTTCCGTTCTGACGGACTTCTCATCGGCTACGGAGCTCAGCGTGGGAATGCCTTTGCCACGATGCACTACGAAACTCTCTTCACTACCTGCACGCCTGTAAGAAAAACTGGACTTGATTTCTACTAAATATGCATACAATAAATTTATTTCTATAAATTGCAACTATATTTGCAAACTAAAGAAAATATAAAACTCGTAATATATAAATAAATAAGCATCCAAAAACGAGCAATAATGAATATTACAAAATAAATAAATTAATTCTTATTTTGACAATTATCATTTATACATTAAAAAAATTTATAAAATTTAAATAAACATTTATTTAAAGAAAGAGTACTAATGAGACATTTTCGTTTACATTTATTTACTGTGAACGAACGCCCTAATGGTACTATTTAAACAAATATTTATTAAAATTTCGTAATTTTTTTTTCAATGTAATGTATTCTTTAAAAAATATAAAATTTATAATTGTAAAGTTTATTAATAAATTCTATAAGTATGCAGGCATGTATTTTGCCTTAGAATTCTCTTGAAACGTTAAATATGACAACGAACCTGTCATCGTACGGGTGACTCTCGGCAGTTTGTTGCAAAGATTGCGACTTCTTCACAGTGCTGCTTGATGTCGACTTCGTAACTGGAAAGATAATTTAAAGATGAATCGATTGCTTGTCTATATTTTTATTTAATTGGATGAGGAGGTTCATTCATCACTCAAACTATATTCAAGTAGAAACAGTAAGATGCTCAACAGATAATAAATTTACACTTTACGTTAAAACTTAGGCAACAAATTAATTTAAGAGCACAATGTGAAATTCTCATGTAAATTATTATTTTGTATTACAAGCAAAACGAATTCAAGAATATGCACCGACAGAAATGGAACAATAACGTAGAATTTCAATTTGTGCAAATTCCAAATATTAACAATATTAAATATTAAAATGTTACAACAGAAAAGTCTATGTTATATATTTTAAGAAAAAAATACGAAGATATATATCATGTCACTAATATTCTAATAAACTAATATTCTAATTTCTAGTTTTTGTCGTAGTGTCGGACAAATCTGAAAATGAATATAACGTGAAAGAAACAGCCCGGTAAACATGGTAAACCATAAACCAAATGACTCCATAAACGAACCAAATATGAATACAACGTCGCAACGTAATCGTACTAACTAAACATGGAGTGGACCTTAATGAATGACGACGAAGTTCTCATCTTTCTCGTTGACAGCAACTGGTAGCAGCGCACTGACTCAAAATCTCATGCAAAAGAAATATAAGTTGAAGCCAATGATCCAATGCAAGCGACAAGCAGCCAACAATCGTATCGCAGAAGTATGCGATTTACATGCAGGTCTGTTCCCGGGGGAATATATATATATTATATATATATATATCACTTTATGCTCTCACGATCGTGATTGAATGAAATGCAAACAATATGTGATTAGTAACAAGCAGTGCTCCTCGCAATTTATGAACTTCACTAAGAGATTAGTCTAATAGAATCACGTGATTTTTCTTTAATTAATATATATAAGAATTATTGATAAAACGCATTGCCTTTCTCTTTTCTCAGATAAAATTTCGTCTCAGAACTTTAACGACATAATAGTAGCTTAATTTTTCAATAACGATGCACTTTTTTTCAAAGCGATATAAAAAAATAAAATATCTTTATATGCACACTTTTATCTATGTGATGAGATGACGTTAATCATACTAAAAGACTGATGAAAACTAAAAACTGCTATTAAATTTTAGAATTTAATACATTAGATCTGAATTAAGCTTGATAATTAGCAACAATCACAAATATTTTATTATATACACTATCTATAACAGAATAAGTGTGCGTCGCATTAAATGTGGGTGACCTGGCACACCTACATACATGAATGACAGCGCGATAAGGCGATTAAGTCGTTGATCCCTTCAAGACATTCGAAAAAACGGCAATATCAGTCCACGGAAACGCGACTCGCAAAGGTAGACGACCACCTAGACATGAGATTGATTCTTTGTGTGGTAACGTGTGGATACCTGTGAAACCTGGCGCGGATACGGAGAGGTTGCTTCTCAGATCAGGTATCGGAGCTATAGACTGTGGCAGACTTCTCTTATGAGCTACGCCATGACTATTGCGCGGGCAGGCTGCACCCGTCGCCGCGCCGTATCATGTGGTTCATGGGCAACCGGAAGTTGACGAAAGAAGAAGGCGAGGATAGCGTTGTCGTGTCAAGCGTCAAGAAGTTACGCCATAGAAATATATGGAAATATTACAGTTGTAGATTAAGTGCTGCGTGTGGAGATAGTAAGTTCGTAAGTTTGGTTGGTATATCATATCTCTTTGCCCGTTGCAGCGGCGACCTCATTGTTGTTCGCATTTGCAAAAAAGGTCAATTGGTTTCGAATGGAAATAATATAATTAGTCGCTGCTCTCAGGAAAGGGAATCCGGATCAAGAGGCTGAGATATTGAGTGTGTGTATTGACACTGATAAAAAGCGTGATACCATTACAATTGCAAGTAACATTCTTCATTGATAATCAATATTGATGATATATTTATTTGAATTATTTCATAATATATTGAATTAATTTGTAATTCAATATATAATTACGTTTGTAAATTAGGACAAAATTTATATATAATGTACGTTCCCTGCAATAGTAGTAGGTTTTTTATGGAGGAAAGTATAATAAAATAAATAATAGAACGGGTATAAAAGTCCAGTGTACAGCAGCCTCCACCAATCACATTTATCCACCACCAATTTTCATGACTCCTCTCTTTCTCTCTCTCTCTCTCTCTCTCTCTCTCTCTCTCTCTCTCTCTCTCTCTCTCTC